GTGCCGTAAAGAGGCCACTTTCCTCAATGGCGTAAAGATCGGGACCCACGCTGCATTTTGGTCCGCCCTCTTCTTCCTCTGACTCACATGGTGATTTTTCCAGGGTGCTGACAGAAATGCCAACACGTGCTCAAGCCCAGTTTCGAGGTTTGGTAGCACTTTCACCTCGATGCCGTGTCGATGCAAATCCGTTTGCCTCGCTGAGATTGAATCGTCATGTGTCCTGCTGAGTGGACAGTTCATAACCTGCGATAAGCCACCACTGCTGAATGTGGGGTATTATATCTGTGTGTGTATTTGCATGCGGGTTTCCCATGATAATCTTTGGTGCATAGAGAGAGTTGGCAGGTATTGCAGGCAGGCGCCAGGTAAGCAGCGGAGAAGAGTTGTAAGGATGTAATGAGGTCGCGTGATGTTAACTCTCATCTATGAAATCTGTCTTATGTGGGATTATCCAGTTGCTGTGCCATATGAGAGAACTGTGTAATTATAGTTCCATTCTTAAAACTACTAACTTATTGGAGTAGTACTCACTTTGCATTAAAATGAAATGGTTAAAATCAGTCGCAGTTGATCCCTGCCTATATTTTTCTTTAGACATAACTTCAAATTTATAGAAAAGTAAATTTTTCTTTTCTCTTTTTTGCTTTGTGGGCTTGTAGAGCATCTTCTGGTAGAGAACGCAACCCATATACGGAGGCCATCATAGAAGCAGTTCTAGTCCTGGCCCGATGACCTTTGACTTCTTGTCTGACAACTGTCAAATAAAGGCCACTAGAGCCTATTTAAAAGAAAAGAAAAATAAATAAAATGCCTAAAAGACTGCAGATTGACTACAGTTCAACTTTGGGCGACTGGTGGTTGTTAAGTAGCCAATCCAGAATCTCTCTTATTAAACTGGTTCTGTGTTAGATGGACCTGTGTTGCTGGCTAATTGTTGAAATGATTTGACAATCCTTTCCGACCTCGAACAGGAAAAATTTAGCCTGATTTGGTATTGACATTCACATTTTTCCTCTTCATTAAAAAGAAAAAAAGTAATTTGGCTGCTATTGCTGCCGTTGAGAACAAGACAGTCATAGTGTGAAAACCGAAGAAGCTGTAACCAATTAAATCACAATTTTTAGAAAACTTTTTCAGGCTTAGAAATGATTATTTTTTTAATTAAACTTACAAAAACTCCCCCCCCCCCTCCCACACACACACAATATTTAGATAAAGTAAATCTAAAGCATAAAATTAACATTCTGTCTTTTTTGAAAGGCCCATCAGTAAAAATTACACCTTTGTTTTTATTTTATTTTTTAAATGTGGAGTTGCATTAACCACCAAGGTTGCCATATAATGTTTATGCAATTTTTTAATCGATAGCCACGCAAAGCATTCAACAACCTACCTCTGGTTGATGCAGCCAGAAAAGCCTCTCATTAGATGGACTTTAAAGCTTAGGAATGGTACGATGAAAACATTTAGTGGGTTAACTGATCTGTATTCCTTGGTACCAGAATCTGCCTCGGGCCTAAACATCACGCCCGTAGTATCTGAGGTGTGTGTGTGTGTGTGTGTGTGAGGTAAAAAAAAGTTTCTCCAGACATCAACTCATCTAAAACCGCCGTATTTAATACCACTGTGCGAGTTCTACTGGGTATTACTCAAAACTGACACCCGTAGTTATGTAAAGACTTATGAAAACCAGGGGTCCAGAACCTGCTCCATCATGGATTTACTGTAATGCAGTTCTTCTTTGACCAACTCCTTGACATTTGGGTACTTGTAGCGAATGATAATAGAAACTTTTACTTTCGTCCACGTCTGTGTGATTCAGGAAACGCTGTAGCTCCACAAAAGACTGGTGTTGGTGTGTGGGCTGTGCTATGTACCTTGCACTGTTGCATTGGGACATAATCTCAGCTCTCTCTCCTTTTTTTTTCCCTCTCTTCCCTCACACTCCTGGCTGCTCGGAACAGAAGGCGTTATCAAGCCAAAGTAGTGTTTGAGCTATTAAAAGGTGACCTCCTTTTTCTGGGTCATTACCAAAAAAGAATGGATTGATTCTAGTTATGAATATCCAAAATTCTTGACGGAGAGGGATGAGAATGGAGAGGCATATTTCTTGCCTCGGGGAGGTTAGGAGGGGTTGAGATGAAATGGAGCAGGAGGTTGTTGGGGGGGGGGGGTGGTGGTGTGGATTTGTAAGGGCAGCGAGTTGGTAAGGGCGTGGAAGTGGTTGCGGCTGGCGTGGCGTGTTGAGGAAACCGGGAAGACAGAGGCGCGCAGTGTGCTCTCTGGTCAAAGGGGGACACGGCGGTTACGAGAACGCCGCGGAGGGAGATCTTGTGACGGGGTCACGAGAAATAAATCAGACAGTAAGTTGAGGAGTGATCTTGTTGCTCGTCTGCAGAAGCAGGATGCAGCCAATGCCACACTCTGTATTTGACTTTTTTTTTCCTTTTTTTTTCTTCTCCACATTTGGTTTGCAGTACTAATTAACGTCAGTGGTTAGCCTTTACTGCCGTGCATTGATTGTTGGAGAAGGAGGAGGAGGAGGAGTCACTTGCTGCTACAGAGAGGGACTCGAAGGCCCAAATTTGAGTTGGAGGAGATAGAAAGTACGTATTCTTGCGCGAACATGGATACCGCTGACCTCGGTGCCGCCCCTCCCCTACCCTCCCCTCCTCTTAACGTCTCATTGGATTGTAACTCGGGCCTATTCTTCTTCTTCTTCTTCTTCTTGTTCTCTGTGGTGCACCAGAAGATGAAGAGCACAGAGCGAGCCTGAGGGGCTCTCGGTTATATTTGCTGTCTGCAACGAAAGAGAGGAGAGAGTAGGGGCGGATGGGAGGGGTTTAAAAAAAGAAGCAAAAAAAAGCAGGAACGAAAAAGCGAGGAAGACAGAGGAGGGGTTGCTATAGTAACAGAAATATGGCTGCTCTTCAAAAACCTTGAATGTAGGTGGTGGTGAGGTGTGTGTGCGTGCGTGTGTGTGTGTGTGTGTGTGTGTGTTTTTCCCCCAACCTTGTCTTCTCTCAGTTTTGCAGATATTATGGAAGTGCTGGAACCTTTCTGATCTCAGTAAGGACTGAAATGCCATTAGCTTGACTTTTTTTCTTCTTCATCATTTGTATTATTTAAATGGCCCCAGGGTGGTGTTTCCAGGCAGAATGTAGAGTATGGGGGCTGTTAAATCCTGAACAGCTTAAACCCATTTTTCTAGGAAAAAAAAGCAAATCTCCACTTGTTTGTTTTACAACCAGGTATGGTCGATAAAAATGCAGATTTTAGGAGAGATTATTCAAGAAATGCAACCTCTTCTGTCACCTTTTTAGGCAGCGGTAGCTCAGTGTTGGATCCAGGAAATGAGGCTAGCTGTCTTAATTATCATAATCCAGTTAGCTCTCTGTTTCCACTCATGCCTTCTTCCTAGAAGTATTTTTTAATTTGGTCACTTACCAAACTGTAGGGCTACTTCCTGACATCAGACAAGGGTGCTTTGACATATTTGTCATCATGACCGGATTAATCAACTTGGCATTTAAAAGAAGGAATTTCCTAAAAACTAAGGTTGGACATTTTAAAGAAGACTCTATTTGTTGCTGCCCATTTGTGCCGTTCACCGAGTATCTTTTTGGTACAAGTGAACAGAATAGCAACAAATAGTTTTATTGCTGCCGTAATAACATCATATGTATATATTGACTGTTATTGTTTGATACAAAGATAAAATATAGATTAAGCTGTTGGCTAGCTAAAACACATGCTGCTAATTGCTCAATGAAAATAAAGTAACCAATAATGACCCACACCATGATGCTGCCACCACCATATTCTCTTTCACTTGTTTTTTTTATTTTTTAAACACCCTGAAGTATTTACTGTTGATTTTTTTTTTCTCTCACACAAGCAAATAAAAATGAATTTCCTTCTTTCAGCGACCAGGACGGGAAGCTTTGCGCTATTTTATGCTAACAGCCGGAGATATCCGGCACTGCTTCTGGTATCCCTTTGAAAGGATCTTGAACTGTAGATATCATCTGATGGAATATTTTAGTGGTTTTGAAACTGTAACTTATTAAAAAACTCTGTTGGACCTTGCCACTGGTAGCTGGCCCACGCCTTCCTTCGTGCAACAGATTGCGGCAATAGCAGCGCCTCTACAAAACGTTTGATGTTCTAATAACGTCAAATCCGCAGTGCTGAAGTAGATAAATATATTTTATGTCCCAGTGAGAAAATGACAGTTGTATAGCTGAGATCAAAATTATTCAAATTTCTGAATATCTCATACGTTAAAAGTCATTCTTAAATAAAATATGTGTTCCGATGAACCTTGTTTGTCAAATTAAGATGAAAATAATAATGCATTAAACACACACTTCTCCTTTAATTGGACTACAGTCATATTCTAATATTGTGTTTTTATTAGACACAAGTGGACAATCGATTTAATCAATAGAAATAAAAAGCCTGCAAACATCAGTCCGTGTGTAATCAATAAAACGTGTTTTACTTTGAGAATTGAGTAACTGAAATCAACTTTTCAACAATTTTCTAATTGATTTGAATGGGTCTGTGTGAGGATCTGGCATGACATTACATTTCCCTCTGGACTCTTCACACTTTATGAGAAACTGAACTACTTGGCCAGGGTGACGGAAGAAATGCTGGGGAAAAAAAAAGACTTTAAATTTCTGACCCATCAAACAATAGATGTTGGGAATTTGATCCAAATCAAACAGAACCTTCCTTTTTTTTAAACTGGTGAGTGCAGATTATGTGGAGAGTTGATGTTGTAATATAGATTATCTCAACTGCTCTTTAGTGTCCATTAAACAAAATATTTTAACAATTAACTCTTGTTTAAATTAACTGGAATTCTGAAATAATTGGTTGCGTTTCTAGAGAAACCAGTTCACTTCCGTCTCTGCTTTCATTTCTGGCCCTTTTCATGCCTCCCTTGTAACTTTGCTCTTTGTCTTTGTTTTGTTGCCTGTTGTGTTCAGGTACGGGAGAAAGTGGCAAGAGCACCTTCATCAAGCAGATGAGGATCATCCATGGAGCCGGCTACTCGGATGAAGACAAGCGGGGCTTCATCCGGCTTGTTTACCAAAACATCTTCACCTCCATGCAGGCCATGATCCGCGCCACCGAGAACCTCAAGATCCCGTACAAATATGAACAGAACCGGGTAAATGCTGGCCCGCAGGAAACGACGGGAAAATCTCAATGTTTGGTTATTTCCTTTAATTACTTTCATGTTTAAGAAAAAATGTATTGTCTGCCATCTTAGAGACGGCATTCTACTGCTGGAAAAATGGATGCAAAAAGTCTGTTTTGATTTTGTACATTGAGGAAAGAAGAGTAGCTTTTTTTTCCAAATATATTTTATTTCTTTAGAGTAGTGCAAACAACTGCCTGATTTTTTTTTTGTTTGTTTGTTTTGTTTTTTGTTTCCACTGGATAAGAGGAATCTAAATAATTTGGTCTTTAATACTAAAGAAAAAAGTATTTTTGTTTTTATGGCTTGTTTTTATCATGGTTTGAATATGTGTGCATTACATCAATTTTGCCATTATGGGACAATAAAGGATATTTTTATTGTATTTTTTATTAATAAAATAAATAGGATTTATTCAATATGTTTTATTTATAGGATTAAATAGGATTTGCATCCCATTTTATTCTATAAGTAAAACATATTTAATTTTATTTACAGAATAAAATAGTCTATGGATTTATTTTATTTATTTTTTTTAATGGATAAGAATAAGAAATGTAATAGAAATTTCTTTGTTCTTTTGATATTGTCAAGGAACTTGACTTGCGGTCCTGGGAGGTAGAGCCTGTCATCATGGAAGAATAATATAAGATAATTTAGATTACTATTTTCATTCTGTGCTTTGTACTATCAAGTGTTTAGCAGCAGCTAGCTGGAGCCTCACCTTGGATTGCGCAACCTCTCGCTAACTGGATGAGAGCCTCTTCCTTCTGTCTATACGTCGCCAATAAAATGGTTAAAAAAACTTTTAATATATAAAATAATTTCCCATCATTTAGCTTATCTGTATAATGTACGGTGTTGTCACCAACTGTGTACCCTGTTTCGTGTGCTGAGGAGCGATCAGAAACGGCAGAGAACACTCGAGGTGAGGCAGGCAGTTCTCCTGCCTCATGGCAGGGGGCGCTCATCATCCCAGACATTGACTCCGCGTCTGCAGAGTAAGAAACGGCGTGCTAGCGATACAGTACATCAGTGAAGCTACACGCAATGAGTACGTGATACAGAGAGAGAGAAAAGGTGGTTTTGAGTTGTACTTCAACGGGTTTTCCCGTTGCTATATATATATATATATATATATATATATATATATATATAATTTACTTTTTATTTAAAACCCTTACAAAATGTCTTCACAGCGACAGACCTTTTATTTAAAACTCAATCAACTAGCATTTTTTTTTTCTGAATGCAATCTGCGTGGGTAGACGGCGTGTTTTAGGTCTTACCTTGAATCAACTTCTGGCACCGAAAGTTATGCTAAAATCTGTCTGGCGAAAATATATTTGGAGGACATAGACCTGGTGGGTGGTTAGATTTTTCCTGCTTGGTCCAGGCAGACAGTGAGGAAGGCTTTATCAGCAGTTCCTACGCAGTCTTGAAATGTGTGGAATTGGATTTTGTCATTTTTCATGTCTGGATAATTAAAAAAAAACAGCATATAGAAAAGTAAAATTTTTGAGACTTCATTTCCATTTTTAGTATTTCAAGATGCATATCTTATTTTTACAAATTTATTTTATGCACTCTTAAAAAAACATTGCAAGCTTTCTTTGTTTCTTTTCTTTTTTGGTTTTGAAACCCCAGTCCTTGTATTGGATGTAAAGGAGTCCCATGTTTTATGTATTTTAAATGATCCAAGTGTGTTTAGATGTCACAAAAAGGTGAAGTAGCCCTGTAAGAGTTCAAAGTCAACCATTTGCGGACAAAAAACAGAATACTTGTCCTCAAATGTCCATTGCGTCATAAAAACTGAATAATTTGTCTCTAAACCGGAAAGATATGGGACTTTTAAATGAAAAATGTGTAGGAGCAATGTTTCATTTATCAAAACTTCAGTTCAAATTTATTAAAATAGTTTTGTCAGACTTTTTTATTTACTCTGTTGATGGGTGCGGGTGCCGTCCCCCTCTGGTTAAAAGGGGTGCGGGGTTTAATGTTTTTATCTTTATTTTTTATTTATTTATTAACTTTTATTTATTTATTTTATCTTTTATCTGTTTATTCAATGTTACATGACTCTGTGTTTTTAATTATGTAAAGCACTTTGAAATGCCTTGCTGCTGAAATGTGCTATACAAATAAAATTTGATTTCTTAATGTCCTCTTTTAATCCCAGTCTCTTTGTTCTCACGTCTTTCCAGGCCAACGCCATGCTTGTGAAGGAAGTGGATATTGAGAAGATCAATGGGTTTGATCAGCACTATGTCGTAGCTATTAAAAGCCTGTGGGCTGATCCGGGAATCCAGGAGGCCTACGACCGTCGCAGAGAGTACCAGCTCTCCGATTCCACTAAATAGTACGTGTGCTCATCTTTCTGTGTGAATGTGCATTGATGCTTTAAAATTCAGTCACTTTAAGTGCAGTGTTGTGATTGTGTTCATCTTGTTTACCAGTGATGTTGTGGAAGCTTCAGTGTTGGTCTTTCTTGACAGTGACACATTTTGTCCCAACAGGAGCTGAAAATTGTAAAACTGTGTAGGATTTTACATGCAGAGCTAGAAGTGCTTACAATGAGCCAGGCCAATGCTAGCATGGTTGGTTTGGACTTCTTCATAATGCAGTTTGTAAATTATTGCAGTAAAGTTTTTTACCTGTGTATGGAGAAAATTCATAGAAAACGTTGTTGGCACATAATTTCTGCTGTGAATCTTATCAGATTGAATGACGGCTGTTTTGGCTGCTTTCTGTGCAACAGCTGACATATTGGCTCATAAAAGGTTGTGATTAAGGGGAGAAAAAAATGCTTTGTGTGATATTGGATTTGAATTACTTACGTTTTATAATATTGCATTCTTAAAAACTCAAAGTTAGTCCTAAAAAACATTTTTTGGGGTTTGAAGAAAACTAAAAATCTTTTCCAAATTTAAAACGACAATAATTAAAGAAAGTCAGCCAGCTAGCAGCTTAAGGAGACCAGCTGTGCCTCTTATAATTGAGCCTTTTATACCCAATAGCAGAAACCCAATATTTACTTTAGAGTTATTTACTTTAGAGAATACCTCCCAAGTAGACTAAATCTGCCTAGTAACCAAACCCAAGAATAATTTTTATTTTATTTTATTTCCCCCTAATTTAAAATGCTTGTAAGGCACAGAGAGTGGAGAGAAAACTCTGAATCAAGATCATTGGTTCTCCTTAATATACTAATCCACATTCTTCTGGTTATTTTACTCAGTTTTACTGAATAATTAGAGATAAATGTGTGTATATATTAGGCCTGTCGCGATAAACGATAAATCAATTAATCGCACGATAAATTCAATCTATCGACCTCATTTTAATTATCGGCTTTATCGTCTCTTCCTGCCTTTTTTTCTTTCTATTGATGACACTGAATGAAAAAAGGCTCAACTCCGGTGCTCTCCACTGACCCTCCCTTCCTCATTTCCTTAGTGTAATGTCCAGCGCACACGACACGAGTTGTCGGCCGATTGTCGGCCCATTTTCAAAACCTGAGAGACACATTAGCCGACAGAAATCCTGGGTATAACGGTTCGATCGGGTTCGTCGTGCCGTGTGGTGTCCAGCCACATGGGCACAAAATAATGGCTACAAGTCCAGTTAACTAATTTTAAAATCAGGCATTAATCGGTGTTTTACTAGAATCTACCTGTGATGCATGTGGCTAGAGTCAGCGTAAAGTCCTGACTGAATGAAAATCATTATAACCTATTTATGTCACGTTAACGAAGAACAGCTGAAAACTTACCGGGTTTATCAACTGCGGTAGTAATTTGGCTCCAACTCCTCTCCTTGTCATTTCTATATTCTTTGCACGAAATGTTGGATAAATATTAATGTTGTTTTCCACATATCATCTCCGATGTCAGCTGGATTTCGGGTTGCGCCTGTCAGCTGTTTGGGATTCCCCTCGTAATTTTCCCTCAGGAAGCACGGAGGAGAATCCGCGCTCTCTGATTGGCTACCTGTCACATTCAGCGTTAAAGCTCCCAGTCGGGGAAAACCCTTGATTTAGATCGGAGCGGCCACGACGATCTAAATCACACTACAGGATGATCGGTTACGAAATCACCAGCGAGAATCTTAGATCAGCCAACGTTCTAAGATTGTCATAAGGGGAAAATGGGGCAAAAAAATGGTGTAATGTGAACTACTGCAGTAGGTAGTCGGATGTGCCCATCTTCTCTATCTAAATCTAGTGATTACTGAAGGGCAATATAGTATACAGACTTCATAATCTGCACTCTTTTGGTTGAATGCAGAATTTATTCCCACTTTGGCTTTATGTTGTTTAGTTTTTATTCAAGTACGTTTTTTGTTAATGGAGACTGAGAATCCATTTTATTTTTGTCTTTGGCTGTTTTGTTTAATTTAGTTTATCAGTTCCAGTGTTATGTGTTCTTTTGAAAATAAAGTGGATCTATCTATGGCAGGAAATTGCATGCATTATTACGGCATTTCTATTAAATCGGTGTCAAAAGGTCTTGAAATAATATTATCGTTTATCGCAATAATTTTTTAGACAATCGCTCAGCAAAATTTGTTATTGTGACAGGCCTATGTATATTTATATGATTCTACATTTAAAGGTTTAAATTTCGGAACCATACTACTAGGTGTACTGCAGTGTAAACTCACATTGCGTGTGACCCCAGGGTGCACAACCAGGGGGAATTGAGTCACTTTATAATGCCCCCTGGTTGTGGTTTAGCTGTATTACATCTGATTTCATGTTCAGGCTGTTCCCGTGTGTTTGCGTCTTAAATGTTTTTTTTTCTCTCTCTGTGTGTGTGTGTGAGAAATTATATGAGTCAGTCATCATATCTGTCTTCATTTCACAGTTATCCACACTGTTCATGTATATCTCCAGTTATCTTAGCGATATAGACCGTGTGACTGCGGAGGGATACGTTCCCACCCAGCAGGATGTGCTGAGGGTCCGTGTTCCCACCACGGGTATAATAGAGTACCCCTTTGACCTGGAGAACGTCATCTTCAGGTACCCCCGAAAGCACCAGGACTGCAGCATCACCAGGGCTCGACAACATGAACCACTGATGGGGAATCAGAGTAGAGATGAGAAAGTTGAAAGAGTGGACGTTTATTCTGCTCTCCCAATCAAAAACGAGAACGTTACAAGTATGCAGAGATGCACTGATCAGAGTTTTGTGGCGAATATAAAAACTTTGGAGATTTTCTACCTGCTAGTGTTGGTTAATTTTCCTTACATCATCAATTATGTCTATTAGGACCAGAAGTGACATCACTTCCTATAACCCAAGAGTCGGTCTAAAGCTAGTGTTTTATTGCTACGACCAGCGAAACGATTAGTCGACACATTAAACCATCTTTCGTTTTGTGTATCGGCAGTGTGCGGGGCTAGCGTTACACAAACGGGAGTCTGTGTGTTATATTTTAGGAAATTGGATGCTTAACTCAAGCGAATGATTTCCAAAAGTTTGCAAACGTTTCCAAATACATGACAGATGGCGGTGTGAACACTCAAAAGGATAAATGGAGCGACTTCACCGCGCTGTGTTCTGCTTTCTGCTGAAATTCTGAATGTCCTGAAAGTCTGGAAATCAGTGAATGTTGTCACCGCTCAATTTGCATAATTAACAGTGTCCATGCAAATGTAATGCACCCTGTGGGAGAGGAATAATGTCATAGCCGAGATTAAGAGGGAAGATTAGATCACCATAAAAATGCTTACAACTACACCTTTTTTTTCTGTAGAGCCTCGTGTTTATTTTACTTTTTTACAATCCATATCCTGCTCCTTTATCAAGTAGCCGACAAAAATGACCCAAAATACAATCTGGCAGTAGATTTCATTACTTGTTCTAGGGTCTGGTTTAATTTCAACCTTTGTAGCGTGAGCCTACAACAATGACCCAGCCAAGATCAGCTTTGAGTTTTATTTGCAGTCTGGATTCGGAGGGTACGCCTCTCTTCTTCCGACTGCAGCTGGGAGGGACGGCTGACTAGTTACGGGGCAGTCTGTGATCACTTTGGGATAGAGCAGGGACCCAAAGCAGCACCCGCTGCTCTTTGACTCACTTCAGAACTGTTATTTTGTAAAAGCCGGATCTAGAAGTTGGTAGTTTAAATTTCTGCTAAATATTTGAGAAGGAAATTATTGTCAAGACTTTTTTTCAACTTACTTGCCGTATGTCAATTTGCGGTTGACAAGTTTTGATTTCACTTTTTACAGGCAGATGGGAACAAACGATCTTGTATGGCTAACTCAGAGTTTTCCTTCCTCAGTGAAGGCTTCAACACTGAAGAGTGTCAGTAGCTGCGTTTCCATTAGTTACATTATTTGTGTTTCCATTTAATAAGAAATGCAATTTAAAATCTAAGGTGTATAAGCTTGTACCCTTGATAAGCCGTTAAAAAATGTGGTAGTGATGGATGTAAACACTTTGGAGAGATTCATATTTCAGCCTGCTGCTCATCGTCAGCCATCAGAGGAGACGTTTACGTTTTATTCAGGCGTTTATTTAACAACAAGGCCCTCATACTTGGGAGTGGCTACGCATTGCAAAGAGGCCAGTTCCTACAAATAAGTGTATACAAGCTGACGTGATTCAAATAAGTGCTTTTCTTGCGGTTTTGCGAATAGCACCGATTTTGATACTGTAGAAAAATCGCTTTATCGTAATGCAAAAACTTTTTCTTGAAAAACGTTGCCGTGTTTCCTCTAAACATATTTATTTTCTTTACTCCAATTTGCACAATTTTGAGGTTAGCGGACTTTAAAATCAGCTAGTTGGTACCCGATGTGTTCAAATCATCAGATTTGAGCGTCCCAACTTGCCAGACGCCACTTGAGTTTAACCAGACATGAAATCGTCCGTTTCCGGCCACCAGCGGTTTCCTCGGTGCATCTCTCCTGCATGACCTTGCAACACAAATTCAAAATCTGTGAAGCGACTCCAGGTTACGGATTGGAACAAGCCAAGTTGTCTTATGGAAGTGGATGGTAGCTGATGCAGTTAATCTGATTGGAGATCAGTGGTTTGTGTTTAGAGTCGTGTTGGCCCGAGGCCAGACCTCGCTGCACTGAAGCGTGTAGGGAGCAGCCACAGAATCCCAGATAAAGACGGATTGGACAGGGATATCAAGGAAATCATGATGTGTGGAACTGAAGCGCAATAAAATAAAATAAAAATAAAAAAAACTCATAAATTGACATCAAAATGACACATTTCCTGTATGGATCTTGTCTCCATACATGCCCAGTCCCTCTTTATGTGGCCCAAATGCTGCTGCAGTCACTGACACCATCTCACCGTCTGAGCCAGAACCCATCAGTAACTTGACTCCAGATTTTGTTTTCACTTTAAAAAGCTGCTGCTGCTGCTGCTGCTGCTACTGAACTTTGGCCATATTCTTAGTTTCTGGAAAGAGTACTGCTGGAGGAGTGGCACAGACTAACACCCCTTTGTTTCTGTGATGTGGTCTTTTTTTTTTTTTCCTGTGAAGCCTTTTCTACAGGACTGATCAGCGCTTTCCTGGAATTGTAGCGGTTTGCGATAATTGCCTGTCACGCTTTATGTAACTGTTTTCCTGTCGGTCTTTTTTTTTTTCCCTCCCTCTTTGTTTTTTTTTTTTTTCTTTCCTCCCCCGTTTCCTGATTGGCCTTCTCGTAGTTATCTTTCGGATCTGGATCGTATTGCCGATCCCAACTACCTTCCCACTCAGCAGGATGTACTCAGAGTGCGCATCCCCACTACAGGAATCATAGAGTACCCCTTCGACTTGCAAAGCATCATTTTCAGGTAGAAAGAGGCCCAACCTCAAGTGGGTTTTTTTTTTCTCCATCATATCCATATAATCATTTGATTTTCTTTTCCCGTTGGGCCTTTAAAAACATCTTTCATCCATCTCCATTAATGAAAAAACACTTTGTCTATGTCCCACTCCTGTCCCGTGCTTTTCTAACTGCTTCCATGCGATCATGAAAGTGAAGTCCTTGCTAATTTAGTGTCACCTGCTGCCACCAAGAAGAATCCTACAGTGCACATAAAACACAACAGAGAATGAACACAGAGTCCTACATTCTGCCGCCCGGTCTTTCTAAATGGGTCGCCTCCTCTTTCTCTCTCTCTCTCTCGTTTTTTTTTTTTCCTCCTCCTTTCCTCCCCGGCCGTCATAAGAAACGAGGTCGTCCTCTCTGCTGTGGAGGAATGTTATTTTGGGCAGCAGGTCCTGCAGGGCCTATATTGGCCCTGGGTCTCTGTGGACCACCGTGGACTGGGCCACCACCAGAGGGCGCCGATGCACCTGTGAATCAGGAGGAGCGCAGATTCACAAAGGGAAATGTTTAATTGCGATGCAGGCATTTTTTTTCTGCATTAGCGTTTCCTGAAGGATCCGACTGGATCTTTATTTTGTTGTTTTTTTCTTTTTCTACAAAGTAGGGCTTATTAAAATGAGCAGTGGGTGACACTGTCTAGGGGAGGCATTGGGAAACCTATAAAAAAAACTCATGTTTTCTGTGTGCATGGCAGTGATCAGGTTTGCTTTCCTGCATGTTCTCGACATCAGCTTTTCCTGCACACCTCTGGCTCCCTCTGTCTTTCACCAGACTATTAACTCTCCCTGTCCTCTGTCTGTCCTCCATCCTTCCTGTGTCCCACTTTTCGGCTCCTCATGCCACATCTTTTGCTCTCTCACTTTTCATTTCCATGCATGTTCTGAAACTTGACGATTGTCGTTGTGGGAAAAGTTGACAAACCTCGTCAGAAACCGAATCACCTTGATGCTCAAATTCCCAAGTACATATAAGATTTTCATATAAGATTTACCTCCAGTGTACGGATCTGAAGGAGTGTCGCTCATTTTAAGAAACCAAAATAACACTATGAAACCTCGAGCTGTGTTTCAGTGATTAAGCCGCATTTTGATGAACTGAATAAGAATACGAAAGAGTTGGTATGCAATCCCCTGAAAAGTAGTAGCCTCCTTCCAGATTTATTTATTTTTTTTGTCCTCTAAAAAGATTTTAGATCAAACATAACCTTAATAAATACACTTACCTCACAACAATAGAAATTACATCAATAAATGGCTAAAAAGAAACTTTAAGAACCAAAACGAAGGGCTTGGACTCACAGTTTAGATATTCATCTGACTGGTATTTTTCCGCAGCCGCATGAAATACTTATTGCCTGTGAGTCACGCAGACACACATGCACCAATATGCAAGTAATCTAAATGGTTGAAGGTCATGCAAGCACATGTTTAATAAAGTCAACACACTTAAGATGCCTGCGCTAGATATCTGCTTTGCAGAGCAGATCTGCCCTGCCAGATGTAGACAGACGGTTTGTTTGAAAGGTCAAAGGCAGAGCCTGTAAAAAAATAAAAAATAAATAAATACGTATTGCCAGTTACTGCAAACGTTTGATGTTAGTTGCTGCCACCAAGCCAGTCGTTGAGTCTAGAGGTCACTTGCTTTTTTCCCCAAGTTGCCACATTATTTGTACTTATTCATATTATTATACTTGTATGATATTGAAATGTGAAACGTTTTGATTTCCCCGCGGACGGAGTAGTGCAGTTTTACCTCAAAGCAACACCGTGTTTTCACTCAGTGATCATTTGAAACACAGCTGTGAGATTACATTTTTGTGAAATGAACGGCATTCCTTTAACGCAGACTGGAAATTGTTGGCGTATTTTCTCAGTTACATTCATACTTTTTGGGTGCAGATCTGTAAGGAAATCTGCATTACATTTACACACTTATTAGGGTAAGATTGTTTATATTTGATAACATTTTGTCAAGGTTTTGGATCCATCAGGTGCGTTTGTCTACATCACTGTAAAGAGAATAAAAATGCAACGGAGTAAAAAAATGTTTTTTTTTGTTTGTTTGTTTTTTTTGGATGAGGCGTGCATTTTATTTAAGTTAAACGCTGAAAATACTGCCAAGAGAATATGAAGGGAAAACAAAGCATTTTTGTCCCCATCTGATTTTATATTTATTATGGGGGAGAAAGAACATCAGCCAAACATCTAGAGAAAGTCAAAAGCAATTAATATGTCATTAAATGGAAAAGCCAAAATCAGTCGATCAGTTACAGATACCCCAGGCCTCATTACGACTAGAAAGAACGATTGATCTGTCTACCTGTTGATTTGGTGTTTTTATATCCTGGCATAGCACCAAATGCACTGTGATGGATTCAAAACCGATTTCTTCCCATTTGCCTGAGCACTCTCAGCCTAAAGTCTTAAAAATAAACACGATTACATTTGAGCCCCACGAGGCTCCAAATGCGACAAATTTCTCTGACGTGTCCTCCCTCCTCGTCATCTTGCCGTCAGGATGGTGGATGTCGGGGGTCAGAGGTCAGAGCGGAGGAAGTGGATTCACTGCTTTGAGAATGTCACCTCCATCATGTTTCTCGTGGCGCTGAGTGAGTACGACCAGGTCCTGGTGGAGTCCGACAACGAGGTGAGCGAGGAAGAATAAACTGGTTGCTTTTGTTAGCCTTTCTGAACTGAAGCTGCAGATCAAACTTTGAATGCTTTTAAAGTCGTCATTGCTCGGCCGCGTGGAGTTTTCTGTTTATTTTTTCTCGTAAAAGTTGTGACGGTTTTGAGTCTTTTGATCCCTTTTTCTTTCCGTATCAGAACCGCATGGAGGAGAGCAAGGCTCTGTTCAGGACGATCATCACCTACCCGTGGTTTCAAAACTCTTCAGTCATCCTCTTCCTCAACAAGAAGGACCTACTAGAGGAGAAGATTTCTTATTCGCACTTGGTGGACTACTTCCCTGAATTTGACGGTGCGTTAATATTTCAGACCAAACTAACGACAAAAGTGTCTCCCAAAGTCATCCTGCATGCAAGATTTAGACCGAACAACGGTTTTAACGACCTCGCAAATATGGAAAACCACCGTCAGTGAGATGGAAACGTTAATGCTTCGATGCTGATTTTTCTCAAATAAGTTTTTCCTGAAGTTCCTGGTATCCAAAATGATCCTCTGTGCCATTTCCAAGTCACAGTGAGCCAGTCGTACTGAACCTTTAAATCCTGTTAGGTTTCGATTTATAAAATGCCACAGATTATGTGTTAAATGAGTCTTGGTGCAATTTGGAGGCATGTGCTATTCACCAAAGCCTTCAGTAATAAGGGGCCTTTTTTTAATGCAGATTTTGCATTGAAAAGCTTTTAGTTGTGAGCAGTAAAGCTTTACAAACACATTTCTATAAATTGTTCAGTGCTCTAACAAACCTGTGAGAGTTTTCTACAAATTGGCAAAGATCTAACCTGAACTTGACTCCTTCCATCCAACTGTGATCAGTTTCTTTCTCCCTCCTGCAGAAAAGCTTCCCCTCAGTACCCCACCACCGTGTTTAAGGTGGTTCAAGGCAGTGTTGAAATTCTTCCACAAATAGCATTTCCTGTAGGCCATACTGTTCAAATTTAGTCTAATTACACCAAAACATGTTTTGAGGCCATTACATGGTAAGATGGAATGTCTTCTAGCTTGTCTTTGCATCATTAAAAGTCTTACATTTATTTAAAAAAAAAAAAGTAAGTTGGCCTTAAATACATTAATCAGAGGTCTTAAATTTTGTTGTGGAAGGGCTATTTAATCCCGGGACTTTTCTATCAGGCAATCATTTTAGTCACCTTGAAGTGGTTGCAGCTGCTACTAACTAGCTGCTAAAATACTCTTGCTAGTTTTTTGTGTCCATCACGGGTAAAGTGTAAACGAATTGCCAGTTGACTCCGTCTCTGCATTTGACGATTCCTCTTAGACATGGTGGATGGACATTGTTTACAACTGCAATAAAAAATAAAAAAAAACATAAATTTCTCTCCACTACACACCCCGATTTGATCAAAAATAGGGCTTTCTGTCACCTTGTGTGTTCATGAAAACAAAAACATTCACGTTACCCCGTCCCTCCACTTCCAGGTCCCCAGAGAGACGCCCAGGCGGCGCGGGAGTTCATCCTCAAAATGTTTGTGGACTTGAACCCAGACAACGACAAGATCATCTACTCCCACTTCACCTGTGCCACGGACACTGAGAACATCCGCTTTGTGTTTGCGGCCGTCAAGGACACCATCCTACAGCTCAACCTGAAAGAGTACAACCTGGTGTGAGAGGGGCGGGGACGGTGCTCACGACGCACTTCTCCCCTCTCACCCATTGCACAAAGCGCACCCCTCTTCGGGAACGTGCCGTCAAACCCCACACGCATCGCACAGCGCAGCACTCCGGCTCTCACACACTCATTCACACACCAACAGAACTGTTGCTTTTTTTAATTTTTATTTTTTTCCTGTCCAGTACGGTGTGTATTTCCAGGTCCTCCCACCTTGAATCGTGTCCCCTTCTTTCACCAAAGCCGCCCCGTCCTTCTCCTCCTTCTCTCGGCAGCTTGTCGCATCAGTCTTCGGCCCTTAAAAAGCTGCTCCGTGTGTCAGAGCTTGGCATACAAACCTTTCAGACGGGCTCTGCGGCGGCGACCGGAAGGGATCTTTTTTTCTTTTTTTTTCTTTCTTTGGCATTTGTATTTGGGGCAGTTTTTATTGCCAATTAATTTCGGTGGAGAAAAAACAAAAAACGGTAATCTTAGGGCCCCGCAGTGTTGACCCTGTCTCCTTTCCTGCCAGTGTGGAAAGCACTGACTGACTTATCTGGTGACATCATCGGAGAACCAGCGGTGCTGAACACAGACCCGCGCTCCAGAGCGACGCGGTCCGGATGTGAGGTCGCACACCAAACAAAGGGACGGACTGGAGGATTCTGTCATCGCCTCGCATCTATGAATGTACCCCAGGTGTGAGCATCGCAATCGCAAAGAAAAAAAAAAGAAATGTATATTATGAATTTAATGCATATTTATCCATTTTCAACAAGAAGAGAGGGAGCGGAGTTAATGAAAATCTGTTGCCGAATAAATTTTTTTTTAGCAGATTTCCACTGATTTAAACACTAACACTACACAGGCTGAGTCAAGCGGGCATGAAAGCAGAAAGCGTATAAAAAAAAATTTTGCAAAATTTTTTAGAAAAGCAACTTATTTGACATAAGTATCCTTTTTTTTAAGTTTAAGTTAATCACACGCTTCCCTCCTCCAAAATGTATCCTGAATGAATTTACAGGGACAATCTTCCACCTGACGCAGCGTGCGAAACCGCTCCCTCAGTACAAAATACTAGTCTCGGACCCCGCATTAGAAATGTTTGCACTCTCAATCATTGAGTTGATCTGCGAGTAGCTAAATCGGCTAGAAACGCAACATGTCCGACGACATCACGCTTCCTGATGCGACGCGGCCATCACTGGCGTCAGGACGTGCTTCTTATGTTTTTTGTTTTTACGTTGGGTTTTGTTGAGAGATTTAAATTAAGGGGAAAGGTAGGAAGATGCGCCTTTCACAGAAAAATACTCTGAAGTCTGCAAATTTTTGTGTATATTTGTAAATACATATACACAAAACTCTTCTGTACAAAACAAGTGCTCTGTGGTACACCATCTTTGGTTTTTGAAAAGACAAAAAAGGAAAAAAAAAAGACTTTCTTTAGCATACAGTTTTCTCCTATGAATTTATGGTAGTATTGATACTGTGATTATGAATTATGTTCACTTGATTAATAGGATTTCAAAGAGCCGCATGGTGTTGAGGAAATGAAGTGGGGACGTGGGGGGGAGGGAGTCGGAGAAACAGACAGCCTCTGAACGCCACACTACTGCAACAGCTCTGTGTTCAGAGTAAAACTAACTAGGGCTGGTTCAACTAAAAAGAAAAAAAAAGATCTTCACGGTTACGGTGAAAGGATGATTTTGAGAGTAATTAAAGATTTTTTTATTTATATAATTTATGGACCAGGATGAAGGTGTTGATAATTTGACTGCTCGTGTTTCTGTCATGTTAAAGGGCTCCTTTTCTCATGGCAGAGCCTAACTTGAGTCTGAACTGCTGTTAAAAAAAAAAAAATCACAAAACGACAAAAAAAAAAACGAATGTCTGGTATAGTAAGAACTTTATCTCCGCTTTCTATTTCTTATAGACATTTCCAGATGTACTTGCCATTACATTTCCATCCATTATAATGCTGTTTGTTTTCTTTTTTCTGATATCTTAGGGAGCCCTCACATTTCTTTTTTCATATTTTTTAATGACTTATTTTCTTTTATTTTTTTTTCCTGTTGGGTTATAGATGCAGCGCTGTAATACATACTTAGAAAATGTACAGTACAAAAATAGGTGGACTTTTTTTTATCAGTGATTGAAGACCTCTGAGGTCCATGCTTGCTATTTGTAACTTAACAAAAGATAAAATGTTTTTTTTTTTTTGTTTTGTTTTTGTTTGTTTGCTTTTATTTCCAGTTTTTGGAGGCTTGCTTTGAATAGTGCCAGTGAAGTGCATATATATATATATATATATATATATATATATATATATATATATATATATAAAATATATTTTATTTTGGTCTCGTGCACGACCTTTATTACAAGTGATTTACCCTTCATCCTCATTAAGGGCTATATCACAGTGCATCCGGCAGCGGGGAGTGGAGCAAAGGACCACAGTGAACCAAGTCATCCACTATTACTACTACTACTTGTTTAGAAAGAGATTATTTGCTGTCTGTGCTATTAAGAAGTAAGGCAGAAGAGTGTTAACACAATTGTAAGGTGCGTGTATGTGTGCGAGTAGAGCATTTTTACCAACACTTAAGATGCTTTCTTTAAGTATTTCCTCTGGTTTCTCACCACCATTTCTGTTTGCATCCGTATTGCAGTGTTGCTTGTAATCCATCATGGAGTGTTGAGGGGCTTATCAGTATGGACACTACTACTAGTACTACTACTACTACTACTACTACTACTACCAGGACAAGTATTGCATGATTTCCCCAAGTATTTGAGTTGTAGCTCGTAAGCCAAGAGATGTCATACTGGTGTTGTTGCATATTTTAACCTGTGTGCATTTCTGCTTTTATGGCAGCTAAAGGAGGTCGAATAGTGTTGATAATGAAAATATTTATTTATTTTTTATTTTTTGGGGGAGTAAAGTGCTGCAGTTTACCAACTGCCTGCCTTCTGAACAGATCAATTACGGTGTTCCTTCCCCACCATAACGTGTGTAATTTTGAGAAATCTCTTCATTTTGTTTTGAAGTTGATAGCATGCAAAGCGGTGATAAAAGTCCAGCTAAAAGGATAGTTTAAGGTTTTTGAGGTGAGACTTTAAGTTGATATCTTGCAAGCAGTGGAGGAACTTTCATTTAGCAAAAATCAGAGTTACTTGGTGAAGCTTACTGCAAGACTAAGACCAAAATGGACATCTATTGTCTTAAAACGGCACCGAAAATATCAAAAGTGTATGCAAATGTGAATTTATAAACTTCAAGTTGCTATTCAGCCCTTTAACGTCCAATTCACCGATGAGGCAGCCGTAGAAAATACATTTCCTGTTTTAGAAGATTCTGACACTTTTTATGCTCCATCTTGCTGAGTTTTAACATTAACCATTTATAGTATCTATTAACTTCTTCCTACAGTAATGACTTCCTCACTGAAGAGTGTTGGTTGCAGCGTTACCTGGTATCGGCTAAGAATGGCGCATTTGTTGGAAAAAAATAAAAATAAATAAAAATCTGGGTTTCTTATTCATCGTTTTCAAGATGTTTTAATTTAGTTTAAATTCAGATTAGTTGTTACCATTGTTTTAGCATCAAAATGGCAGTAGCTTATGCAAACATTATTGCATTATTTGCATTGGTTATTTACATGGGGATACTGGAAATGGAGCTTGGAGGCGCTGATCGTATACTGAGAACAGAACAAGTAAAGTGTTTTCAGTCATAGTCGTTTTATGGTGTAAATCAAGAAACAAACAAACAAAAAAACAGGTCAAGTGAACACTGGTCTAATTTTTCCACTGCATTAGTTTTCTGACCGGAAATGCTTCACATGTTTTGTTCTCCGTTCATATTTCACGCAGGAAGCTTATTAGTGGCGCACCGCCTGCTACCTCAAATTTCCCAAGCAAGTAATTGACTTCTGCTTAAATGGCCAGCAAACGCTTACATGATGAAGATGATGCTGATGATTTAAATGTTCATAAAATAGTTTGCATTCATCACAAATACCGTAGAAGTCCACTTTGGTCTCTGTTCTTCTCGGACTAACCATTATGTCCAGATTTGCCCCCGGTTTATACTAAATGAAGCTTCTGCGGGTGATATATTAATCCATTAAAACGCTTCTACAGAACCTGATTTTTATAAACCTTCAGCCATCTTTCTGTTAAAGCAAAAGACAGAGGAGCTGGTTTCCAGTGCAATCAGGTTCAGAATATGCAACAGTGCCCACCAGTATGGCATTGCCATTTTCTCTGCTGAAAATGACACTAACCTCACGACTGCTGCTGTGACTGCTGTCATATAGAGAGGATCAGGACGCCAGTGCGCGTAACCCAGTGTTTTATCAGTAGTGTTAGTTCGACTTTCTGCCGAGCGCAGCTCACCCAGACGGTTTCCGACCGTGAATTTGCTGACTTGACTCTGCAGCCCTGACACGTGGCGAAGGGCCAGGTGGCTGCTGGTGTCGGCGCGCTCGAGTCGGCGGTCTCAGTTTTCCTTTCTGTTTCGGACATGTAACTATTTCAACATAACCAAGCAGCGCAGAGGGATGCAGTTCAGTCTCCCGTCACTCATCGTGACCGTGTTTTATTATCCTCCTTTCACACTACATTACTTATTTATTGCCTTGAGTTGAGAGAGATGGCCCTTTACAATGTTTCTGTAAGCTTGCTGTTAAACTAAGGGAATCAGACTTATCTCTTACACATCTTTACAGAGTTGGACACTCAGCCCAAAGCTTGTTCCTCGTTTTTTTATGTAATATAAACAATTCCTGAACCCTTTTTTTTTTCTTTTTTGGACCACTTCATTTAGTTTCCTCACTCCAGTAAAAGCTGAATTTCAATCATGTCGTGGTTTGTATAAAATGTGATTTTTTTGTTTGTTTTATTTTATATCCGAACCAACATGTAAATGATGTATTATTCTGAGTGTGCCAACCCCACTCTCCAGAGCCAGGCTCTCTCTAAGTGCCAATGTTGTGGTCGCTATCAGACGGTCCACCATTTGAGACGGGGGCTGAGGAGGCTCCCCTTTGTAAAACAAACCAGAGACTAAAGTGATAATTATGAACACACAAAGATCTTATTCTGTATTTAAGATTGATTTGAAAGATAATCTGCTCTTTTTTTTGTTCATATTTTTAAAGAAACTGTAATTATATCTGCATGTGGTGTTTGTTTTTGTGTTGAAAGTGAGGGCTTGGATGTTTTTCACTGAAGTAGAGCCCTTCTGTTGAATAGGGTTCAATCAGTTGGTTATTATTGATTTACAATAACTCTTGCCATATTTTTTTATTTGTTTCATGTATTTGTTTCAACCACTGTTGCCTGATCCTCATTCAAACATGAACATGACTTATGATCATTGTCGCCTTCTAAGAGAGAAACATAATGACAAGGTATCTGTTTTAAATTGAAATAAATTTGTTCCTATACTTGCTGATGGCGTGTCTGTGGGTTTTATGCTAACTGAAGGAAAGACGCAAGATTTTGGAGTTCACTATTTTTTTTTATTATTATTTTGCAAATGTATTACAAAATTGATAAACTTGTGAGAAAGGGTCCAAAAAATGTAAGATTTTAAACAAGTGATGGAGAAATAGAATGAGTTTCTGGTATTGGAGTGGGGAATTAAAGATGCTTACGATTAAGAGTGAAGTTTATAAAGCCAGAAATGTGCAACAAACTGACTTAGT